TCAGTAATTTTTCTACAGAGTAGTTACTTTAGATCATGTAGCCAATACTGGGCTAGATGAGGATATCTAGTACAGGCATTTTCTAGCAAAATAAGGTTAGGTTAGACTCTGAGTTCAGTTTTTAACTTTAAAAAGATTAAACAGATTCTGTCTTGATTGCATTAATGAATTTTATGTAAATGGAGGTAGAACTTGGCTCAGTAGAACTGTAGCTCATGAGATTATTTCACTGTTTTAATGTTACATTGAACAGAATGGCATCCACTGAAGTTTTAAATCAGTAAATACCACCCTGTATAGTTTGCAGAGAAGTGGTGCTGCTAAATTGGTTATTCAGTGCTCTGGTTATCCAGGTTCTCGCACTCTCGTTACCTATAAATCAGTTACACCCCATGTTAAGTAAGTTAGTGTTTGCTAACTTCATCTGTTAATATTTGTATTTTATCTATGTATCTGTTGACTTCCAATAAAATACTGTTTCTGAGGTTACAAATCCAACTCTTATTACAGTGCCTCTGGAACAGGTTCAGACCTTGTTCCAGAAAGGCAGCTTTGCTGTTATGCTGGGGACTGTTGACCTACAGCTGGCAAGCCCTCAGCAAGACTGTTCTGAGAGCACTGAATACATGCAGAACAGTGAGACTCCTGGATCCACTCCCTCACAGATGAAAAAGGAGAGTGGTTTCAGAGATTTTTGTTGTGGTGCATCTACTTTGTTTTGGCTCTGACTTCTGCTCAGAAGAGCCTTGTTCAGAAAAACAAGTATGGTCATCAGCAGTAGGATGATAACATGAGTGCAGGGGTGCTAAGGGAATCAAAGCCTGTGGGCTGTAGCAGTGCCGTTTCATCTTACTGTAGTCTGGTAATTGCCGGAGCGAGAGCTCTAGGGGTCTGGTCCATTCCCACTTAAGCACATCTTCATTTTAACCTACAAACAAATCAAAGCTTTCAGCAGTGATTTATAGGTTACCTTCTGTGTACAGCATGTCTGCTGAGAGCAGCAGCAGAGACAGCAGCAGGAGGCCTGGAAGCAGTCTAGGTACATCAGGTGACCAGGAGTCACCTGGCCTCTCAACCAGACCAGTTTAGCTTGGGCACAACCTTGAACCAAAGCGCTAGTGAAATCAGTGCCGTATTCTACATCTATCAAAGGCTGGCCACTGCGCAACATAAGGTTACCTCTGCGTTAGTAATGAAGTAGAGAAGGTCCTGGTCTTTGGCTGTGGAGCAGAGACTGTAGATCCAGAACCTGGTTTTGGATCGCTTTTATCACATGGGTAAGGTGCAGTACCCTCAGGCTAGGGAACAGCCTCATGGCAGCCCCCTCCAGGCCCTTTTTGCCTCCTCCTGGCTCAGCAGGTAATGGAAGGGTCCAGGCTTTAGCCTCCGTTAACCAGAGGCTTAGCTCTCCCAGCCCTGTCCACACTTGCTGTGTGCAGGTGATGGCAGACAAGCTCTTGAATTGGCAGAGGTCTCTCTGGGACCAATTTTTAGTCAACAGAGACACCTAATGTTCAAGCTTTGAATGCGTGCACATCAGGAGAGAAAGAAAGAGCCCAAATGCTGTTAACTGCACCAACCTTTTCCTGTCATATTTGGGTAGCTCTATAATGTGACTTTAGCAACACTTACGCAATGAACTCAGCTGTGGGGCTAACGCACGGACTAGTTGGAGAAGGTTATTTGGCTCACCACGACAAGGCGGTGTGTGCTTCAGCCCAGAACCCCGCTGTCCTGAGCACAGCATGAGCAGCAGGTCGAGGGAGGGGATTCTCCCCCTCTGCTGCGCTCTTGGGGGGCCCCTCCCGCAGTCCTGATCCAGCTCTGGGGCAACAACACAAGAGGGACATGGAGCTGTTGGAGTGAGTCCAGAGGAGACCACAGAGATGCTGCGAGGGCTGGAGCAGCTCTGCTCTGGAGACAGGCTGAGAGAGCTGGGCTGGTTCAGCCTGGGGAAGAGAAGGCTCCTTAAGGGGAGACCTCAGAGCAGCTGCCCTAAAGAGACTAGAAGAAGCCTGGAGAGGGGCTTTGGACAAGGGCCTGTAGGGACTTTTGACAAGGGGAATAGCTTTAACCTGCCAGAGGGGAGACTGAGATGAGCTCTTAGGCAGAAGTTCTTCCCTGTGAGGGTGCTGAGGCCCTGGCACAGGTTGCCCAGAGGAGCTGTGGCTGCCCCATCCCTGGCAGTGTTCAAGGCCAGGTTGGACACAGGGGCTTGGAGCAACCTGGTCTAGTGGAAGGTGTCCCTGCCTGTGGCAGGGGGTTGGAACTGGCTGAGCTTTAAGATCCCTTCCAACACAAACCAGCCTGGGATTCCGATTTTCGAAATACTTACATTCTGCCAATCTCACTCCTACATGATAGGTTCCTCCCTCTGCACCCACACCAAGACCTGGACCCCTGGAAAGCTAAGTCCTGTCAAGCTGGGCCGCGTTCTGGACACAGCCACCACACATGGTTGGGGGTGTAGGGCAAGACCACGGCT